AGAGAGAGAGAGAGAGAGAGAGAGAGGCTGGAGACCAACTTGTTAGTTTTTCATTAGTGTGTGCAACAGAGAGAGAGAGAGGACCTGCAAGGTTAGTGATGGCGTTGGAAGAGAGAGAGAGAGAGGGGACCTGCAAGATAAGTGATGGCGTTGGAAGAGAGAAAGAGAGGGGACCTGCAAGATTAGTGATGGCGTTGGATAAAGCGAGTGCAGTGCTGACACCTCTAGAACCTCCGTACATGTCTTCTCCTAACAAAAGCTTTGCAAACCTCTCCTTCATTCCGTGTACATCACAGCACTCCATGCAACATGCCTGCTTACCTTCCTTCTCTCCTACTTTTTCAACACAACTCGAATGCCCCCGATATTCTTCTTTCTCTCTCATCGAACAACAATTTGAGAAAGAATCCACCATTTCTTTACTGGAACAAAAGGCATAATCATCGTCTCTCATTGAATTCTCTGAATAAAAACTAATCCTCGGGCTCTGTTCACCCAAGCTATGGTAACTCTTTATTCCTGCAATAACATGCTCTGGTCTTAAATGCAAGAGATCGGACATATTGATAGAGAGAGAGAGAGAGTGTATCCTCTACAAAAAGAGAGAGAGAGAGAGAGTGTGTATCCTCTCAAAAAGAGAGAGAGAGTAACATGTTATCATTCAAAAAACCAAAGAGTATCAGATTATCAGAGAGATGAGAGAGAGAAAAACTTATTGCAATACCTGGGTTGTTACAGAAATCTGTAGTGCTCTTGCCCTTTCCACAGCAAGTAAGATTGAGCATGGTGGAAACAGGATATTTTCAGGAGGCAATGGAAGATGGCTACATGGATATGAAGCCCACCACTTACAGAAGAAGGCAATGTAAAGGAAGACACCACTAATAGAAGAAGAAGGCCTCCGGTTCTTGAAACAAGAAGGGAAGGTCCCCTCTTCTTCTCCCATAAATGAAGGCATGGACATACAGAGGCATTAACCTCATGGCAGTGATTACTTACTTATTTCCACCTCTGATGCTCTGGATTCTGTGTACTGTGAGAAGTGAATGACAATTTCCTCAATTATCACTTTTCATAAATAACCACAAAAATTTCCTCGAATTAACAAAATTTTAAATTTTTATAAAGCTGGGTCACCTTAAATCCTGGTCCGAAAAGCACTTTGGCAACAAAAATCTTAATGATGGCTCTAAAATTAATTTTTAACCAGGACAATAAAATTTGAAACTAAAGCAATTGTAGAGAGCTTGCATATTATTTTTTTGGGCGAAATGGATGGCCTAAATAATTTGTTACAATATACACCATTTTTAAAGCTTTGAAATCCTATTTTTTTTTTCACAACCATAGTATTCAAGCCGAGGTGATCAATGTAAAGGTTTTCCAATGCTTGCAATTTTCGAAGAGTTATGAGGTGAGGCTTTACTTATATTGATAGAGCTGCAACCCTATCAAACCATTTTCTATTTCTAAATAGTCAGCTACCGTTTCAATTGCTTTAGGAATGATTTTTCCTTTTTGGGCAAAATGTTTTTCAAACGGTCCATCACTGCTAAAGTCCAAAAAAATATGAGGTTTTAAAAGTATGAATTGGTTAGGTGGAGGGAGGGATTCGGCTTTATTACCTTGCTATCCCAACCAGATCGGTCATTTTTAAAACCCGTGAAACAAATTAATAAAAATAAGGCGCGGTTTGTATAGAGCCTAGACTCTAAACAATCAAATTAGAGCCTGCCTTCAAATAGTATTGAAAAATATGGTTTTAATAATGAAAATATTTGTGATAGCTTTAAAATATATTATCATATTTATTTATAAACTTTAAAGCTTCAAAAATAGTGTAGATCGACAGATATATGAAAAATTGAAAATTGACAGTCTAAAAACGCGTTACAAACTACTCTTATGTCCAAAACTTAAAATCTATTTTTTCTCATGTCCCTGCATCTTGATGTTGAGAAGATTAACTTGAGGATATTTGGGCATCAAAACAACCTCTTCTAGTGAATTTTTGAGGTAGACTCTAATTTGATTGTTTAGAGCCTCAACTTTATATATACTTTTCCATAAAAATATAATGGAAGGGATTGTGTACAAAGAAACCATTTATCTTGATTACAAGGAGGTTACTACTATTCTCACTCATTAGATGTCAAATTGAATGGCTTAAAATGAATCATGAAGTCTTTGAGAAATTTTTTTTTTAACTTTGTTTCTATTCAATGATTTGAAATTTAAAGGACAAAAGTGATTGTGACCTTGTTATATAAAAGATAAATAGTCTTGTCGCATATTTTCTCAAAATATAAAATAAGCGACTCTGGGAAGGGGACCCACATTGGACACCCACAAAATTTGATCTCGATGACCCTGATCTAATCGTAGGGTTTTAAAACAGCAAGTCTAACCATCAACTCAACCAATGGTTACTTCTATAAGAAGTTTTCACTTGGTGTAAATATTTTGGTTAAAATAGGCCTAAAATTCCCCCACTTTGTTTGGAAACTTTAGCTAGCAAAGGCATTTTTTAACAAAATAAATAAATAAAAAGATGAGTGAAATGAGAACCACTTTTTCAAGAATAGGGTGGATTTGACAACTTTGTTGGTGGTGCTGTTGGTGGTTGTGTTTTTTTTTTCCCTTTTTTCTTTCCTTTTTTAGGTAATTTAATCATTAAAATGATATCCCTTTACATTTTCGGTAAATTTAATTGACAATATCAGCTTTTGACAAAAGATCAGTTCTCTTATTTTTTCATTTAAAAAAGGGTGCGGTTTGTATAGAGACGGGGCTCTAAACAATCAAAGTAAAGTGCACATTCAAATAGTGTCAAGAAATATGCTTCAATATTGAAAATCTTTGCAATAGCCGTAAATATAGTTTTATCTTTAATTATAAAATTTCAATCTTAAAAAATTACAAGCAGGTCTATGAAAAATATCTTAAAAATTGCCAGTCCAAAAATATGTTACAAGATGTACTATTTCTAAAACTTGAAATCCATTTTTTTTCTCATGTCCATGCATCTTGATGTCCAGATGATCAATTTGAGGATATTTGGATATCAAAACATCTTTCAAATTTTTTTTTGAGGTGGGCTCTAATTTGATTGTTCAGAGCCTCGGCTCTATGTAAACTTTTTCCCTTAAAAAACAGGTGTGGTTTACATAAGGATGCAACTTTAAACAATTTTGTTATATCTAATTATAAATGTAATTTTGATCATAAACGTAATTTTGATATAAAAAATTCTAGAATGGCTTGAGAATCTAGTTTCATATCTAATTAAAAAAATTGGAAACTCTGAAAATGATTCAAATAAAGTAAATCTATAAACACATGAAAATCTTGAAAATAGACGGTCCTGATAATGTGTTGCAAGATACACTATTTCATGGAGGAAATCTTTTTTTTTGTTGCTTTTCATATTCATACATCTTGATGGCAAGATAATCAATTACAAGGTTTTCAAGCATCCAAGCAACCTTTTATAATGGAGTTTTGAGGTACATTTTTTATTCTACATTTTAAGGTTACAATCTTCCGTGCGCACACACGCACATGCGCACACACACATATTGATTCCCTAGGATACTATTCATTTCCTCCCTCCGGTAAAACATATGCTACAAATACTTCTTAGATATCAAATTTTAGGATACTATTCATTTCCTCCCTCAGGTAAAACATATGCAACAGATACTTCTTAGATATCAAATTTTAGGATACTATTCATTTGCTCCCTCAGGCAAAACATATACTACATATACTTCTTAGATATCAAATTTGGGAGATGCAATCTTTACCGCTATAATCTCAACAAAAAAAAATAAAATAAATTCTCTATGTACTTCAAAAAACTGATGCCTAACGATTGAATAGAGATAACCCATTTTTTGAAGGGCTAAATCTAAAGGTCACAAAACCTAAAATTCAAATTTTTTTTTTAAATAATCATTTAGTAATTACTATGTGTTTTCCAAAATTTTTGACTATGAGAATTCTCTTAAGTAGGTGTTTTGAGCGTTGGAGGAGATGCGCAGTATCCAAGTAAAAGCACCAATAATGGCAAGAGGACCAGACGAGTTCTCTTTCTCTCTCTTAACTATTACCAAAAATTAAGGCAATTGCGCCTACGACAACTAAACGAGGAGTTATAGGAACACCTAGTGCGCACATAATTGCCATCATATACCTTATAGTCACAATAGGTATGCGTCCAATCCGATTGGACTCAGACTCAAAACCAGACCCAAATAGTATTTAAGTCCAAAATTTGGACGCATACCCAGACCCGAGGTTAGGTACACCTGTCGGGTCCCGGATCTAGTTGGATCCATTGCCACCCCTACCCACACATATAGGGAATTATAATGGATATTTCCTATCGCCAAACATTTAACAAAAAAGGGTTGAGTAGAGGTGATAGCACCCCATATGTAGTTACCACGTTGTAGTTTCCAATCATGTTAACAGTAGCCACTGATACCTTAACTCCCTAATCAATTTGAAAAAATGGGTAGTCATGTTTTCCCTACTGAATTATCCAAAAAAAAACAAGATGCATTCAACATAAGGATTGTATAGAATAAGACCATTACCTTATTTTCAAACAAACGTCACACGATTTGGACCCATACCCAGACCCGAGGTCGGGTATACCAATTGGGTCCTGGGTATAGGCAGGTCCGTTGCCACCCCTACACACACATATAGAGGGAATTACAATGGACATTTCCTATCGCCAAGCATTTAACAAAAATGAGTTGGGTCAGGGTGGTAGCACCCCCATACCTAGTTAAGAGCCCACCGAATTATCCAAAAAAAGAAAAAGAAAAAAAAGAAGAAAAGTATATAATGAGACCATTTACCTTTCGTATAAGACAGTCACAATTAATCTTGATCATTCGATGTGAAACTGGGTGACTACATTTATTTCATCAACCAAACTCAAAGTTCAAAAGAAATTTTCTCGAACTTTGTAACACACCAAGCTATCATATTTCACATTGAATATGGTTGTAAGTAACTGTGACATCCCTATACCAAAGATAAATGGTCTTATCATATACAATCCAAAAAATAAAAACATTTAACACAAAGAATGTATGGATTGTATACACTAAGACCATTAGCTTATTTCCAGACATACGTCACACAACATAAAATCCAAATGTCGTGTTTTGTTTTTCCAGCAAAGCCTGAGTCAACCTTTCTCAAACTTCAGGCATAGTGAATGGTACACCCCAGCCTCCACGGCAAACTTTACGCTTTAATGCATACTTTAATAAGGAGAACCTTTCTATATACAACTAGGCATAGGGAAATATATATGATGAAATATTTTTATTTTATTTTATTCTACAAATTATATCAATACCAAATTTAAGGCTTGCCATCATCTCAAAGGGGACCACCTGAAAAAAGTATACACAAAAAATTCCTAATAAAATAAAATGACCAAGCTACCCTTAAAAATTTTTAGGGTTAATTTGGTCATTTTATTTTGTTAGGAACTTTTATTACGTTCTTTTTAAGTTTACCCCATTGCAGGTTTATGTGATTTTTAGAAAAAAATTACAATAAAATAATCAACCAATCAGAAGGTTACTTGCGACATGATGGCTGAAGCTACCCAACTGTACATTTAAATCGGAAGGATGTAGCTTACTTTGTCATTTTACTGGTATTTAAGGCTAGCCATCTTCTCAAAGGGGACCACCTGAAAAAAGTATATTTAAAAAATTCCTAATAAAATAAAATAACCAAGCTGCCCCCTAAACTTTTATAATGTTAATTTGGTCATTTTATTTCTTTAGGAACTCTTATTACATTCTTTTTAAGTTTACCCCATTGCATATTTATATGATTTATAAGAAAAAATTACAATAAAATAATCAACCAATCAGAAGCTTACTTGCGGCTGAAGCTGCCTACCCCAACTGTTCTGTTAGGAACTCTTATTACATTCTTTTTTAAGTTTAACCCATTGCATGTTTATATGATTTATAGAAAAAAATTACAATAAAATAATCAAACAGTCCAAAGCTTACTGGCCACATTATGGAAGTAACTCCACCTGTACACTGAAATCGGAGGGCTGAAAAAAAGGGTAACATGTACAACGTTTTATGTACCTACGGGCATATGGAAAGGCACACTCTTTAATAAATATATGTTTTAAAACCAAAAGGTAAAATGTCACGCCATTTGCTAATCATACAAATTTATTCCATGATGCAAGTTATTGGAATCGA